TCCTCCCGTGGATCAAGTCTGATTACTTCCGTTTAACCCAGCCACTCTAACACCTCACCAGGTTTAGCGCTCCTACCATCAATGTAATAATAATAATAATAATTATAATAATAATAATACGAAGAAGAAGAAGAAATAAAACAAAAGTGTTATATATGTGTGTGATAACTCTGTACAATTATAAATGATAAAAGTGCACTTGTATACAGTTGTGTGTGTACTCACCTAGTTGTGGTTGCGGGGATCGAGTCACAGTTCCTGGCCCCGCCTCTTCACTGGTCACTACTACGTCACTTTTCCTGCTCCATGAACTTTATCATGCCTCTTCTTAAAGCTATGTATGGATCCTGCCTCCACTACATCACTTCCCAGACTATTCCACTGCCTGACAACTCTGTGACTGAAGAAATACTTCCTAACTTCCCTTTTGATTTACCTGAGTCTTCAACTTCCAACTGTGACCCCTTGTTGCTGTGTCACATCTCTCGAACATTCTCTGTCCACCTTGTCGATTACTTTCAGTATTTTATATGTCGTTATTATATCCCCCGTCCCTCCTGCCTTCCTGTGTCGTTAGGTTGATTTCCCTTAACCTGTCCTCTTATGACATGTCCCTTAGCTCCGGGACTAGTCTTGTTGCAAACCTTTGCACTTTCTCTAATTTCTTGATGGGCTGACCAGGTGTGGGTTCCAAACTGGTAATGCATACTCCAATATGGGCCTAACGTACACTGTGTACAGTCTTGAAGGATTCCTTACTGAGATTTCGGAATGCTATTCTTGGGTTTGCCAGGCGCCCATATGCTGCAGCAGTTATTTGGTTGATGTGCGCCTCAGGAGATGTGCTCGGTATTATACTCACACCAAGATCCTTTTTTGATTTAGGTTTGCAGTCTTTGGCTCCCTAAACTGTACTCTGTCTGCAATCTTCTTTTCCCTTCCCTGATCTTCATGACTTTGCACTTGGTGGGGTTGAACTCCAGGAGCCAGTTGCTGAACCAGGCTTGCAGCCTGTCCAGATCCCTTTGTAGTCCTGCCAGATCCTTATCCGATTGAAATCTCATTAGTTTCACTTCGTCTGGAAACAGAGACACTTCTTGGTCTATCCATTCCGTTATGACATTCACATATACCAGAAACAGCACTGGTCCTAGGAATGACCCGTGTGGAACCCCGCTCGTCACAGGCGCCACTCTGACACCTCGCCACGTACCATGACTGGTTGATGCCTTCCTGTCAAGTATTCTCTGATCCACTGCAGTGTCTTCCTTGTTATACCTGCCTGATCCTCTAACTTTTGGGCTAATAATCTCTTGTAGGGAATTGTGTCAAAAAGCCTTCTTACAGTCCAAGAAAATGCTAACTACCCACCCCTGTCTCTCTCTTGACTTATTGTCATCTTGTCACAGAACTCCAGTAGGTTTGTGACACAGAATTTCCCTTCCCTGAAACCATGCTGAATACTGTGAATACTGTCATTCCTTTCTAGGTGTTCCACCACTCTTCTCCTGATAATCTTCTCCATGACTTTGCATACTATACATGTCAGTGACACTTGTCTGTAGTTTAGTGCTTCATGTCTGTCTCCTTTTTAAAAAAATTGAGATTGCATTTGCTGTCTTCCATACCTCAGGTAGTCGCCCTGTTTCGATAGATGTGTTGTTAGTGGCACACACAGTGCCTCTGCTCCCTCTCTCAGGACCCACGGAGAAATGTCCAACCCCACCGCCTTTGAAGTATCAAGTTCACTTAGCAGCGTCTTCACCTCCCCCTCGGTTGTGTGTATTATGTCTAACATTTGATGGAGTACCCCTGTCTCCACTGTGAATACTTCTCTAAATCTCATGCTCAGCTCTTCACATATTTCCCGGATGTTTTTTGTAGGCTCCCCGCCTTCCTTCATGAGCCTGTGTGTGTGTGTGTGTGTGTGTGTGTGTGTGTGTGTGTGTGTGTGTGTGTGTGTGTGTGTGTGTGTGCGTATGTGTGTGCGTATGTGTGTGCGTATGTGTGTGCATATGTGTGTGCGTATGTGTGTGTATGTGTGGTATGTGTGTGTTGTGTGTGTGTGTGTGTGTTGTGTATGTGTATGTGTATGTGTATGTGTGTGTGTGTATGTGTGTGTGTGTGTGTGTGTGTGTGTGTGTGTGTGTGTGTGTATGTGAGTGTGTGTGAGTGTGTATGTGTGTGTTTAGGTGTGTGTGTGTGTGTGTCTGTGTGTGTGTGTGTGAGTGTGAGTGTGAGTGTGTGTGTGTATACTCACTTATCTGTGGTTGCAGGGGTCGATTCACAGCTCCTGGCCCCGCCTCTTCACTGAACGCTACTAGATCCTCTCTCTCTCCCTGCTCCATGAGCTTTATCATACTTCGTCTTAAAACTATGTACGGTTCCTGCCTCCACTACTTCACTTTCGAAACTATTCCATTTCCTGACAACTCTATGACAGAAGAAATACTTCCTAACATCCCTTTGACTCATTTGAGTCTTCAACTTCCAACTCTGACCCCTTGCTTGTGTCCCATCTCTGGAACATCCTGTCTCTGTCCACCTTGCCAATTCCTCGCAGTATTTTGTATATCATAATTATGTCTCTCCTGCCCCACCTTTCCTCCAGTGTCTTCAGGCTGTTTTCCCTCAACCTTTCTTTGTAGGACATTCCCCTGAGCTCCGGAACTAACCTTACCTGGAGTTTACCTGGAGAGAGTTCCGGGGGTCAACGCCCCCGCGGCCCGGTCTGTGACCAGGCCTCCTGGTGGATCAGAGCCTGATCAACCAGGCTGTTGCTGCTGGCTGCACGCAAACCAACGTACGAGCCACAGCCCGGCTGGTCAGGAACCGACTTTAGGTGCTTGTCCAGTGCCAGCTTGAAGACTGCCAGGGGTCTGTTGGTAATCCCCCTTATGGATGCTGGGAGGCAGTTGAACAGTCTCGGGCCCCTGACACTTATTGTATGGTATCTTAACGTGCTAGTGACACCCCTGCTTTTCATTGGGGGGATGTTGCATCGTCTGCCAAGTCTCTTGCTTTCGTAGTGAGTGATTTTCGTGTGCAAGTTCGGTACTAGTCCCTCTAGGATTTTCCAGGTGTATATAATCATGTATCTCTCCCCCTGCGTTCCGGGAATACAGTTTTAGGAACCTCAAGCGCTCCCAGTAATTGAGGTGTTTTATCTCCGTTATGCGCGCCGTGAAGGTTCTCTGTACATTTTCTAGGTCAGCAATTTCACCTGCCTTGAAAGGTGCTGTTAGTGTGCAGCAATATTCCAGCCTAGATAGAACAAGTGACCTGAAGAGTGTCATCATGGGCTTGGCTCCCTAGTTTTGAAGGTTCTCATTATCTATCCTGTCATTTTTCTAGCAGATGCGATTGATACAATGTTATGGTCCTTGAAGGTGAGATCCTCCGACATGATCACTCCCAGGTCTTTGACGTTGGCGTTTCGCTCTATTTTGTGGCCAGAATTTGTTTTGTACTCTGATGAAGATTTAATTTCCTCTGTTTTACCATATCTGAGTAATTGAAATTTCTCATCGTTGAACTTCATATTGTTTTCTGCAGCCCACTGAAAGATTCGGTTGATGTCCGCCTGGAGCTTTGCAGTGTCTGCAATGGAAGACACTGTCATGCAGATTCGGGTGTCATCTGCAAAGGAAGACACGGTGCTGTGGCTGACATCCTTGTCTATGTCGGATATGAGGATGAGGAACAAGATGGGAGCGAGTACTGTGCCTTGTGGAACAGAGCTTTTCACCGTAGCTGTCTCGGACTTTACTCTGTTGACGACTACTCTCTGTGTTCTGTTAGTGAGGAAATTATAGATCCATCGACCGACTTTTCCTGTTATTTATTAACCTTGTTGCAAACCTTTGCACTTTCTCTAATTTCTTGACGTGCTTGACAAGGTGTGGGTTCCAAACTGGTGCTACATACTCCAGTATGGGCCTGACGTACACAGTGTACAGTGTCTTGAACGATTCCTTACTAAGGTATCGGAACGCTATTCTCAGGTTTGCCAGGCGCCCATATGCTGTATCAGTTATCTGGTTGATGTGTGCTTCAGATGTGCTCGGTGTTATGCTCGCCCCAAGATCTTTCTCCTTGAGTGAGGTTTGCATTCTTTGGCCACCTAGCCTATACTTTGTCTGCTGTCTTCTTTGCCCTTCCCCAATCTTCATGATTTTGCATTTGGCTTGGTTAAATTCGAGAAGCCAGTTGCTGGACCACGTCTTCAGTCTGTCCAGGTCTCTTTGAAGTCCTGCCTGATTCTCATCTGATTTAATTCTTCTTATTAACTTCACATCATCTGCGAACAGGGACACTTCTGAGTCTAACCCTTCCATCACGTCGTTCACATATACCAAAAATAGCACTGGTCCTAGGACTGACCCCTGTGGGACCCCGCTCGTCACAGGCGCCCAGTGTGATACCTCATCATGTACCATGACTCGTTGTTGCTCCCCCTCAGGTATTCTCTGATCCATTGCAATGCCCTTACTGTTATATGCACTTGATCCTCCAGCTTCTGCACTAATCTCTTGTGATGAACCGTGTTGAAGGCCTTCCTGCAGTCCAGGAAAATGCAATCAACCCACCCCTCTCTTTCGTGTCTTACTTCTGTTACCTTGTCATAAAACTCCAGAAGGTTTGTGACACAGGATTTGCCGTCCATGAATCCGTGCTGGTTGTCCTTTACAATCTTGTTCCATTCCAGGTGTTCCACTACTCTCCTCCTGATAATTCTCTCCATGACTTTGCATATTATACACGTCAGTGACACTGGTCTGTAGTTTAGTGCCTCGTTTCTGTCTCCTTACTTAAAACTATGTGTGTGTGTGTGTGTGTGTGTACTCACCTATTTGTGGTTGCAGGGGTCGAGTCTTAGCTCCTTTTAGTGTGTGTGTGTGTGTGTGTGTGTGGTGTGTGTGTTTTGTGTGTTGTGTGTGTGTGTGTGTGTGTGTGTGTGTGTGTGTGTGTGTGTGTATGTGTGTGTGATCCAGCCTCACCTTTGCCCACCAGTCTGATCTTCTCGTAGTCATGGTCGAGGTCCTTGACTCTCTTCTTAGCGCCGTTACCAGCAGTCTTGAGAGCATCCTTCAGTTTCTTCAGGTCAAAGTAGAGTTCTCCCAGGGTGAGGGGCGTCGACCCCTCGTTACCCCACTTCACCACCTCCACCTCTGACCCCTCTAGATCCTTACACAGACTCACAGTGACCTAAAACACCAGGTTCAATGATTACAGGAACTCAAAAGACTTAAGGAATATAAATATAAATCATTTTATTTACTATGAATCATTACTATCAAATAAAAAAATGAATTTCCCCCGAGAATGGAGACTGATTAATGTTTAGTAAACTTTAAAGTGTATCAACTACACTATGGTCATTAATGCTGCACCACCAGAGTGCTTTTATCCCTAAAATTTACAATATACACCTCTCAGTGTATATATATACTGAGAGTAATATACTGTCAGTGTATATATACACTGTGAATGCTGGAGAGTCACTATAACTTTCCTGACCAACAACTTCACAAGCATCAAGACAATAACTTCCTTTAAAGACGATATGAAGTTGTGATGTATACTGGTTAGTAAACCCAAGAATGATATATTTGTGTTACACTTGTGTTACACTGTGTTACACTTGTGTTACACTTTGTGTTACACTTGTGTTACACTTTGTGTTACACTTGTGTTACACTTTGTATTACACTTGTGTTTTCATTTGTGTTAAAACTTGTGTTACACTTGTGTTTTCACTTTGTGTTACACTTGTGTTACGCTTTGTGTTACACTTTGTGTTACACTGTGTTAAACTTGTGTTACACTTTGTGTTACACTTTGTGTTACACTTGTGTTACACTTGTGTTACACTTTGTGTTACACTTGTGTTACACTTGTGTTACACTTTGTGTTACACTTGTGTTACGCTTTGTGTTAAACTTGTGTTAAACTTGTGTTACACTTGTGTTACACTTTGTGTTATACTTTGTGTTACACTTGTGTTACACTTGTGTTAAACTTTGTGTTATGCTTTGTGTTACACTTGTGTTACGCTTTGTGTTAAACTTGTGTTAAACTTGTGTTACACTTGTGTTACACTTTGTGTTATACTTTGTGTTACACTTGTGTTACAGTTGTGTTACACTTGTGTTACACTTGTGTTACACTTTGTGTTATACTTTGTGTTACACTTGTGTTACACTTGTGTTACACTTGTGTTACACTTGTGTTACACTTTGTGTTACACTTGTGTTACACTTGTGTTACACTTGTGTTACACTTTGTGTTACACTTGTGTTACGCTTTGTGTTACACTTGTGTTACCCTTTGTGTTACACTTGTGTTACACTTTGTGTTACACTTTGTGTTACCTTTGTGTTACACTTGTGTTAACTTTGTGTTACACTTTGTTACACTTGTGTTACACTTGTGTTACACTTTGTGTTACACTTTGTGTTACACTTTGTGTTACACTTGTGTTACACTTGTGTTACACTTTGTGTTACACTTGTGTTACGCTTTGTGTTAAACTTGTGTTAAACTTGTGTTACACTTGTGTTACACTTTGTGTTATACTTTGTGTTACACTTGTGTTACACTTGTGTTACACTTTGTGTTATGCTTTGTGTTACACTTGTGTTACACTTTGTGTTACACTTTGTTACACGTGTGTTACACTTTGTGTTACACTTGTGTTGCCCTTTGTGTTACACTTGTGTTGCACTTGTGTTAAACTTTGTGTTAAACTTTGTGTTACACTTTGTTACACTTGTGTTACACTTTGTGTTACACTTGTGTTACACTTGTGTTACACTTGTGTTAAACTTTGTGTTAAACTTTGTGTTACACTTTGTTACACTTGTGTTACACTTTGTGTTACACTTGTGTTGCCTTTGTGTTACACTTGTTTTTGCACTTTGTGTTACACTTGTGTTACACTTGTGTTACACTTGTGTTAACTTGTGTTACACTTGTTTTTAAACTTTGTGTTAAACTTTGTGTTACACTTTGTTACACTTGTGTTACACTTTGTGTTACACTTGTGTTGCCCTTTGTGTTACACTTGTGTTGCACTTTGTGTTACACTTGTGTTACACTATGTGTTACACTTGTGTTACACTTGTGTTACACTTTGTGTTACACTTTGTGTTACACTTGTGTTACACTTGTGTTACACTTGTGTTACACTTGTGTTACGCTTTGTGTTACACTTGTGTTACACTTTGTGTTACACTGTTTTACACTTGTGTTACACTTGTGTTAAACTTTGTGTTAAACTTTGTGTTACACTTGTGTTAAACTTTGTGTTAAACTTTGTGTTACACTTGTGTTACACTTTGTGTTACACTTGTGTTAAACTTTGTGTTACACTTTGTGTTACACTTGTGTTACACTTTGTGTTACACTTTGTGTTACACTTTGTGTTACACTGTTTTACACTTGTGTTACACTTGTGTTAAACTTTGTGTTAAACTTTGTGTTACACTTGTGTTACACTTTGTGTTACACTTGTGTTAAACTTTGTGTTACACTTGTGTTAATTTGTTAAACTTTGTGTACACTTGTGTTACACTTGGTTTACACTTTGTTACACTTCTGTTACACTTGTGTTACACTTGTGTTACGCTTTGTGTTACACTTGTGTTACACTTGTGTTACACTTGTGTTACACTTTGTTACACTTGTGTTAAACTTTGTGTTACACTTTGTGTTACACTTGTGTTACACTTGTGTTACACTTTGTGTTACACTTTGTGTTACACTTTGTGTTACACTTTGTGCTACACTTTGTGTTACACTTGTGTTACACTTTGTGTTACACTTTGTGTTACACTTTGTGTTACACTTGTGTTACACTTGTGTTACACTTTGTGTTACACTTGTGTTACACTTTGTGTTACACTTGTTACACTGTGTTACACTGTGTTACACTTGTGTTACACTTGTGTTACACTTTGTGTTACACTTTGTGTTACACTTTGTTACACTTTGTGTTACACTTGTGTTACACTGTGTTACACTTGTGTTACACTTTGTGTTACACTTGTGATACACTTTGTGTTACACTTGTGTTACACTTTGTGTTACACTTTGTGTTACACTTGTGTTACACTTTGTGTTACACTTGTTACACTGTGTTACACTTTGTTACACTTGTGTTACACTTGTGTTACACTTGTGTTACGCTTTGTGTTACACTTGTGTTACACTTTGTGTTACACTTGTGTTACACTTGTGTTACACTTTGTGTTACACTTGTGTTACGCTTTGTGTTACGCTTTGTGTTACACTTGTGTTACGCTTTGTGTTACACTTGTGTTACACTTTGTGTTACGCTTTGTGTTACACTTGTGTTACACTTTGTGTTACACTTGTTACACTGAGTTACACTTTGTTACACTTGTGTTACACTTGTGTTACACTTGTGTTACACTTTGTGTTACAGTGTTACACTTTGTTACACTTTGTGTTACACTTGTGATACACTTTGTGTTACACTTGTGTTACACTTTGTGTTACACTTGTGTTACACTTTGTGTTACACTTGTGTTACACTTGTGTTACACTTGTGTTACACTTTGTGTTACACTTGTGTTACACTTGTGTTACACTTTGTGTTACACTTGTGTTACACTTTGTGTTACACTTGTGTTACACTTTGTGTTACACTTGTGTTACACTTGTCTTACACTGTGTTACAATTGTGTTACACTTGTGTTACATTTGTGTTACACTTGCCTTACATTTTGTGTTACACTGTGTTACACTTGTGTTACACTTGTGTTACACTTGTGTTACATTTGTGTTTCACTTGTGTTACACTTTGTTACACTTGTCTTACACTGTGTTACACTTGTGTTAAACTTTGTGTTACACTTGTGTTACACTTGTCTTACACTGTGTTACAATTGTGTTACACTTGTGTTACACTTGTCTTACACTGTGTTACAATTGTGTTACACTGTGTTACAATTGTGTTACACTTTGTGTTACACTTGTGTTACACTTGTCTTACACTTTGTGTTACACTTGTGTTACACTTGTGTTACAATTGTGTTACACTTGTCTTACACTTGTGTTACACTTGGGAATATTTATTGTGGATATAATGTTGCTCAAAATGAATCCCCCCCACACAACACACACACACACGCACACACACACACACACACACACACACACACACCCCACGCGCGCGCGCCGCGCGCGCGCGCAGAATAAATTCGAACCATGATCCTGCAGGAGAAAGCAGGACTATGTGACAAAACGGGGTACCAGAATGTGTACCTCAATCGAGACAGAACACAAGAGGAAAGGATGATACTGAAAGAGAGAGTACAAAAACGAAAAGAGGACCGAGAGGAAATGACAAAGATGAGCAGAAGAACCCAGACACAGGTGGAAGGGCAAACACACCCTCCAGAAACACCTGCAGAAGGACTCCAACCTCAACAACCCCAAGGCAATTGAGCAATCTATACTGACACTCACACACTGATCCCTCTGTCACCACCCCACACACCACAAACCCCACTCCTACAGCAACCCCCTATGGGAACTCTGCCCCATCTCCAGCCCCACTGCAACCCCCCATAGGCCCCCACCAGACCTCCTGCTCCCCCCAACCCCAATCTTCTCCCAGGATCACAGTTTTAGAAAAGAAGCTCAAGGTTTGGTACATGAATGCGAATGGAATAACGAATAAATATGAGGAGCGGCATGAAAGAATCAATGAGAAGTCCCCAGACATCATAGCAGTCACAGAAACGAAACTCACTGAGACAATAACAGACGCAATCTTCCCACCAGGATATCAGATCCTGAGGAAAGACAGAAGGAGCAGAGGTGGAGGAGGGTTGCACTGCTTGTAAAAAACCGATGGAGATTTGAGGAAATGGAAGGCATGGACGAGATTGGAGAAAGGGATTACACAGTAGGTACACTTCAGTCTTGGGAACATAAGGTAGTCATTGCAGTGATGTATAATCCACCACAGAACTGCAGAAGGCTAAGGGAGGAATATGAAGAGAGCAACAGAGCAATGGTGGACACACTGGCTGAGGTGGCAAGAAGAACTCACTCGAGCAGAGCAAAGTTACCGGTTATGGGCGATTTCAACCACAGAGAGATCGACTGGGAAAACCTGGAGCCACACAGGGGTCCCGAAACATGGAGAGCCAAGATGATGGATGTGGTACTGGAAA